ATTCAGTAAACCCTAAACTGAAAAGTGGTATTTCTTCCACTTTTCACTGATCTATATCAGTGATTTTCAACCAGTGTGCTGTGGCCATGTTTAAAGATCATTAACTAAATTATTTTCAAAACAAGTACAAAGCACAGTAAGCATATTCTTTTTTTTTACTCTTTTTTTTGATTAACATAATTTCAGTGTGCCGCGGAAGTTTAACTACAGGTTCGAGTGTCCTGTGAGATGAAAAAGGTTGAAAAACACAGCGATAGATTGATAGGTTATTCAATTCATAGAAGATTATTTTTAGACAGTCTCTAAAGAAAAGCATCTAATGTCTGATTGTAAATAAATCCAACACACACCCCTCAAGTGTGTCATTCTCACTGAGCCTGCAGACTGCTGCCCACATGGGTGAGCTGGGTCTTCTGCCTGTACTTGCTGGGGTAATAATTATCTTATTTCTGCTCTGAGAGCTACTCCACAAGCTGCCGTTCCCACCTTTGAATCCATCTCTCATTCTAATCCACCTGCCCTAGAATCTAGCTGCTCCTATTCACCTACAACGGCCCAAATGCCCTTCCTCCTGGGCAGTTCTAACCCATCCCAGTATGCGTAGACACTCTTGGTGGGAAGGGACACACTTACTCTACCGTGCCAGAAACTTGATCGTTATTATCCACACTGAGCATGGAATAATCTTCTCCCAACAAGGACTACGTCCCCCCTGCTGTCCAAGACCAAGCAAAGCTTCTTCCTGTCTCAGATGACTCTGCCCTAAGCTGAACTCCCCTGTTTTGGGAAGCTTACTGTTTGATTGCTATCAGGCTGTATTCTGTAGAACTTGGTAATTGAAACCATCGGCTCCCCAGTCTGACCTCTTGGCTTGGAATTCCGGCTCTAACACTTATGACTTAGACCTCTTGGTTCGAGCGTCAGTGTACATGAACTAGAACCAGTCAGCCTTGTTAAGAGCAGATATTATTATCACACCATTAGTTTTCTTCTGACACATCCCTCCACTGCATCCCAGCTTGTGTCCTATAATGCGACTATAAAATGCTTTATTGTAGCCTGCCAGGAACCAGAGCCTGAGGCAAAGGTTGTGTGTGTGCTCGTGCGCGCGCACCTGTGGCTGAAGTTTTGAGAAGCCACACCAAAGAAGGGGGGTTAGAGACTGGTGAGAATGGAACAGGATGGAAAGACAATTCAGGAGAACTTTATTGAGCTCACTGTAGCTGTGGGCAAGAGCACTAATCCCACCGGGGTGCTCTGAGGAGCGATGGAGTTTGCGTCTCAGAATTGTATACCTGGGACGTGGAAGAGGAGGATACCATGGCTCTGTCCCCCAGTTGTTGTTGGGGCTCAGAAATTGGAACCCTGAAATATGGGGCTTCACCACGCTGAACTGAACAAGAAGCCTCAACGTCCCTCTGCCCTTTCCCCGAGGGGCTCTCAGTTCTCTGTCTCTCCCAACGCACAGGGGAAGCTGTTCTCTGAAGGTCCCTTACCTGCTTGAAGTCCAGACCCCCAAGGAAGAAAACAATTGGCCCTGCTCCCTCCCTGTGGTTTTATTAACTGAATTCATTTTGCAGGAAGAGACTGAAGTTGGCCAAGATACCTGGACAGCATTTTGTCCCAAACCACCATTTGTTCTGTGGGCTTTGCATATTCTTCAAAGCCATTGAATTCCCCTAGAAATCACTTACTAGCCCCTTAAAATCATCCACACTTCCCCATCTCCTTTTTCCCTAAGAAGTGTATCTAGCCAGCCATGCGTACCCACTGTGTGGTGGGCTAATTCCGCTGTGATTCTCCCCCATGCCCAATTCATAAATTCTTATGCCTCTTTCCTTATTAATCTGCCATTTGGGTAGGAAAGAAAGGTCTGAAAATTGCGAGCAATTTTTTTTTTTACTTTTTCTTTTTAAACTAAATCTAAAATCCTAACCTCAGGTTATTTATATCATAGCAGAATCTTCCAGAGATTGGATAAGTATCATGAAACAAGTAGCTAAGCTCGTGCCACTGTCACACGCAGAAATGTTTTCTGAGCTATAGTTTTGATTTTTTTTCAATACAGTGAGTGAAAATAAGAAAAAAAAATGCTGCCATTTGTCACTTGATTTTTCATGAACCTTCAGAGGCTGAAGGGGAAGTTTTCCGTTGACCCCCACATGGTTGAAGATTGCCCCCCAGGGTGTTAACCCCCTGGACCATCCTGGTTTTGTACATGTTGCCAGAGCTGAGTGGGTGTCCACAGGCCGTCCAGAGAGGCAGGGAATCCCCCAGGATAAGAGCTGGAGATACCTGGCGTAGCTGAGTTGAGGTGCTGTACAATTTCAACCATGTACAGCTAGATGTCTGGCAATGACCAGATAAAAAAAAAAAACCGAAGGTGTCAGGTGGATTTAATCTATCATAAAATCAAGAGAGTACTTGCAATTCCCATTTCTGTAAAATTCTATATCTCTTTTGTTTTCTCATTCCGCAGTGTGAAGAAGATGAGATTGTTATTTGCCAACACCCCTGTACCAAAGTCGAAGCTGAGCTGATGAATGCATTCCACAGCGCAAGGCAAAATAAAGGCGTTATTGTTTGTCTTGGTACACGCTAGAAGTTGAAATGCTGTTTTTGAGGATGAGGCAAGAGGCAGATGACTGTGACATAGTGTGAGGACAAGCAATCCAAAACACTGGAGGAGAATAAGGCTCAGATTCCTGGCTTGGTCAGGAGGGCTTTCGAAAATTCCCCCAAGTTCAGCCACCTCGTAAAACAGGGCTGAGCTGGTCTCACACATTGTTGACCGTGTCATTCTAATCCTATCTGCTCCAGAATCCCCCTGCGTCATCCTCTAGCCTGGGAAAGAGGCTGATATGTGTGAAAACACACAAAACAAACCCAGAGGCCAGGCAGTGGGGAGGAGAGAAGTTGGGCTCTGTACAGTCAGGCCTGAGGGCTTAGAGACCCATGAAGATGATAATAAAACACAAGGCCAGGCAGAAATTCCACATCACTAGGTTAAATTCCATGTGGCAAAATCTGTATAAGGAAATCAGTGTTTTATTTTATTTTTTGTTCTTTCCTACTTGGTTGGTATAGAAGCTAAGTTCAGATAATGTCATCTCATTGATTTATTATACTATTGATAATCTTACTGCAATATTTATAAACTTGATAAAGTATATATCAAGTTCAAAATTGTTATCAAAATCTAAAAAGAAAGCTTAAAAGCAAATTATATCAGTATGTTGAAGACCATTAAATATACTTAAGATAATCGAGTACACTGCATTATATTTTAAAGAACTATTAACTATAATGCATTGGTATAATCTTCAAGTAAGAATTATCATCAGTTTCAATCCAATACTGAGTGCCTATCATCCTATGTGTGTCCATGCATCTAGGAGTTCCTTCTTACCCTTAAATTTATTTCATCTTCCAGAAGGTTCTATACAGGGCCCTCTTCTCACTAGAGCAAGACCATCTCGAGCTCAACACTTTTACTGTAGTGTAGTGGCAAAGTACAAGGACTCTGGCCCTGATCTCTCTTCTAAACCGAAATCAATATTTTCAGTTCCCTAAAAGACACCCTAACCTGGTGGGCTTGCTTGGACCCCTCAAGTTTTTACATTTTCTTAATCCTGGTCCTGATCGTAAACAAGATATATAATTTGCAAATAAATTTCTCCATTCTCTGTGTTATCTTCTTACATTCTTAATAGGTTCTTTTGAATCACAAGTTTTTTAAAATTTTTTTTGGAATTACAGGTTTTTCATTTTGATGGAGTCCAATGTACCTATTTATCCTTTGGTGACAGCATTGACTGTGCTGTCAGTGTCATAGCTAAGAAAAACATTGCCTGACCCCAGATACCTGGGATTTTATGTAACCTGATCCAGGCTGGGGTTAGGCGCCATTTCGGTGGGGTCCTAGTGGCACCTAGCACAGCACCATTCCACCCCATGTATCCTCTGCCTGCTGACTCTCTGCCACCCTCACTGAGCTCAAGGACAGGTTCCACCGTGATCACTGTGTGCTCAGCGCCTGCTGGACACCTGGCAGTGCCCATGGATGCTGTTTGGGTAACAGGTGGACCAGTTCTTAGGTAACGTGGGACGGTGAGTCAGGGCCACATTTGAGAGAAACTGGGTGTAGCTAGCGGAGGCAAACTTCACAAGTGTTCTGTGCTCCCTCCCCTCTGAGCTTCTCTTGTGGATTTGTGTTTGCTCTCTTACTACAAGTCTGCTGAATACACAGTGAAGAGAAATGCAAAAGAGATGACAGGTGGTTTGTGTCGGTAAATTCAGATTACTGACCAAATGTAACTGGCTCCCACTTTTGTCTCTGTACAGCCTCTAACAGTGGCTGATACATAAATAATAGGCCTACTGTGCGCCAGGTATGGTGTAGCTACTGTAACACGTCCTGGCTTATTTAATCCCCCCAAAAGAATCCTAGAATTAGGTTCTGGTATTACCCCTATTTTATAGAGGTGGAAAGTGGGGTCCCGAGAGCAGCTACAGTCCACATCATGACAGGACATGCAATTCCTGTCTATGTAGAATTCTCTCTCTTTGCTGGTTTCCAGCCTTCAGAAAGCGAGGTTTCCAGCATTCAGCCCCTTCATGGACCATCCTCTTTGACTGGCAGGATATAAATGGACCGTTTTTAGATATTCCTTCTGGGTTTGAGGTGTATACATGAAGAATGTGCTCGTGGCTTGTTCTGAGTGTGACATCAGATCTAATGAAACGCAGTGGATGTTTGCCTCAAAGCCGTAGAAGGGTTCCGTGGGGGACATGAGTAGGCCAGGCAGATACGCCAAGGTCCTAGTCACAAGGAGAAATTCACACCCTGTTAGCCAAGGCAGGACACTTTCACTTCTAGAACTTTCTGCTTTATATGAGATATCGTTTTTCATGGCCTGTGGACAGTGTTACACAAATAGTGATATCTATGTTCTGAAATGATTTTGTGACGTGATTACCAATTGGCAAGTATAGATCAAGCCAGGCAGAAGAGGGCAGAGCCTGCCGCAGCCCAGTCAGCTCACCCAGATGCTGGGCCCGTAGACCTATCAAAATAACCAAGTGTCTGGGCCAAGGTGAGAGGATTCCAGATATTTTTTTCTCTATTTTGGGGTCTTTTAAAATTATGGCTTTTATAATAAAGAAGATAAGTTGGAATTAAAGAAAAAGAAATGCCTTTTTGAGCATCTCCTCACAGAAAACAATACAACCGGATCAGACTTGCAAACCCTTCACGAGCCCTGTGCCCTGTTTTTCTTTCCCCTTCTTCTGCCCTCTCAGCGCTTATCTTTCATTCCCGTCTCTGACTGTCTTTCTCTTCCCCACGTCCACTGCTCTTCAAGGGCCTGACCTGGAAGGTTTTCTGGTGGTAACAGGTGTCAGGACCTCCTGTTCAGTCTTCTTTCTCTCCAGTAACAAAGCTACTTGCAAAACTTCAACGCTCACGGCAGTGGGAATACCTTCTATACCTGTTTCCCCAGGTCTGGTTCCTGTCTCCCTATGTAGGGGAACCCACATGGAGATTCCCTACAGACACCTCATATTCAAGCAAAAATCACCCAGTGCATCCAAACCACCTCCCCATCCTGTTGTCAGTAGCTTTCCACGGCTTGTAGAAGACCCCTGAGCCTCCTCAGTGTGCCACTCAAGGCCCCTGCAGCTGACCCTCCCGCACCTGTCTCTCTGCTCCCCAGAAAGATCCCTGGATCCACAGCACTGAGGCAGTGAGACACCCAGGAGTGAGACAGAGCTGGGTCACAGCCTCACCCCACCCCATGCTGTGTGACCTGGAATGGTGCCACAGCCACGCTCTGCACCTCAGTTTCCTCATCTGTCAAATGTGGATGAAGATAACAGTACCCACCTAGGAGGGGTATTGGGATAATGTCACGTGATAACACAGGACTTGGCAAAATGCCTAACACAGGACAGTCCCACGTTAGTGGTAGCTATTGGCCAGGTACAGTGGCTCACGAGTTTGAGACCAACCTGAGTAAAAGAGAGACCCCCGTCTCTAATGAAAATAGGAAAACTAGTTAGAGTTGTGGTAGGCGTCTGTAGTCCTAGCTACTCAGGAGGCTGAGGCAGGAGGATCAGTTAAGCCCAAGAGTTTGAGGTTGCTATGAACTATGACACCATGGCACTCTACCCAGGGTGACACAGTGAGACTCTGTCTCAAAAAAACCCCCAACCCCCCCCCAAACAAAACAATAACAGCAACTAAGGCAGCTATTAATTATCAGTAAGCATTTAACCATTTCTCTGTGCACACATCTGTTCTAGAAACTTCTGCTGGAGAGTATATTCTGCATCACTGTCATTGATCTCAAAGCACAGATGGTGCTTTTCTTACCTCTGTGCCAAATTCAGTCTCCAATTCCTTCACACTGGGACTCCGTAAGCGCCGAGGTCGAGGGGTGGGAATTTCCTGGAGCAACGCACTTTCTGCTTTAGACTGAAAAATCAGACAGAAAATTACTGCTGTGTAACGTCGGGAGTGCTGTGAAAACCTCCATTGCTATCTCAGTAGAGAATAATCAGTAAACATTACACACTACCCCACGTGAAAGGCTAGGAGCAAGGTTTAGAAAAATGACTTTGAATTCTTAAGTATAATTTTCATCTGTGCCTATGCAAAAAACAACACTAACATTTAAAACCTGTGGGCTAAACCGAAGGGGATTTGAATGCACGGAGTTTGGAGCAAGCGAGACACGGCCTGGGAAGCCGCTGTCAGCACCAGACAGAATATGCATGCGATTCTCTCACCCTGGCTGCTTGCAATTTCTCCCTCATACGCTCTCTCATGGAAAATTCTGCAAAGCCGGTTCTGGAAGCTGAAGGAATTGGAGGCAAGCCTAAAAAAATAAAGAGAAATTACTTTAAGACAGTTCTTTCCCCTCCTAGGGAAGATTAAATTTTAGACAATAAGGAGAGAATAATTTTATTTTGCAAATCTGGAACTGTGCATTTGCAAACGTGAGATAATGCCGATAGTCGTCCTTCTGACTTAGGAAATACACGTCTTGGCTTCTCTGAGACCCAGAGTGAAAACCTCAGTCCTGCCAGGGACTGTCACCTTGACTAACGTAAGAATAATATGAATGACATTCGACTGTTCCCAGCATACAGACACCAAGTTCCCTCAGGAAGAGGCTCTCAAATTGGTTGAGTTGGGAAGTAGGGTTGTTTGGTAAATGAATGGCTGATGAGGGCTGAACTTTCAACAGCGCTGATAACTTCCATCAGAGAGATCTTTTCCCGAGGCCCAGGCCTAGCTTTTTACACTTATTATTGAATTTCTACGTGAATATCCTGAACCATCAGGCAGCTACTGTGAGTCAGGCACTGTGATACCTTTGTTGAATAACTTTCTCATAAATTGTCAGGCTTTTCTCCCCCGCAGGAGGCCCTGGGTATGATAGTCACCAAAAATCGTGAAGGCAAAAAGCCCCGAGGCTCTGTGTGACAAGTGGCTGGCTCTTTGTGACTAGTGGCTGGCTCTGTCATCACCCCTTAGGGGTGGAGGGCTGGAGCTCCGCACCCACCTCTATCATCTCCAGTTCTCTAAAGCAGCGATTTTCTACCGGTGTGTAGCAAAGATTTTTAAAGATCATTAATTAAATTATTTTAATTAAAGAAGTTCAAAGCACAGTAAGTACATACTTTTGACATGCTTTTTTGGTTCAACATTATTTAAGCATACTGTGGAAGTTTATAGGTTCGAGTGTGCCGTGGTCAGGAAGGGTTGAATAACACTGTTCTAAACCATTACCGAGGAGGAAGAAATAAAACATAGTCTTTGGGCAAAGAGAACGTTAGCACAGCTGGAACTGAGTGTCTCTACTGGGATGGAGGGGACAGGAGAGTGAAGAAGGACTTGGGGGGCAAGTTACGAGAAGCCTCTGACATCACCCTGGGGAGTCTTAACCGCGGTCCCCAGGATGGATGTCCTGGAAGGTGCAGAGCTGGGAGCGCCAGCAGCATTGTCAGGAGCTGCAAGCGCAGCTGTAGGTCTGGGATGGTTGGGAGGGAGTGTGCGAGGCACCAGGACCCTACTCAGGATGTTTGGGGGTGAGACACGGAAAGGGTCAGTGGGAATCAGCAAGAGGGGGCCCCGGAAAGGAAAATACCATAGGACCTGGAGGCGACGGCCAGGTGTGGGTCAATGGTCATAACCAGCAGCAGCGGCATCTTCCAGGAAGTTTCAGACATACGAATTCTCAGAATCTTGGGGTGCAGCCCTGTGGTCTCGGGTGTTGAAACACACAGTCAAGGTGGAGAACCCTGAGCCAGAAAGAAGCATCTGGGGCTCTGGCTGGAGTGTGCACTTGCGTGTTTAGTGTGGGAGGTCCGAGGAGGAGATAGGATTTGGGGGCTGGTCAGTGTATGGACAGGAGTTAGAGTCTTGGCATGACAACAAGAACGGGTGTTGGTAAAGACCCGGGGGCCCAGCATGGCGGCCGGCGCTCCAGCTCTGAGTGGCCAGGACGTGGGTGGGACCCGGCAGGGAGATAGACCTTCCGTGAGGCCAGAAGGAAAGTGGGAGCTGGGGCTGGGACGCAGAGGTGGAAAGGAGGAGGGAGAGGGGAGTGACACCAGACGCTGCTAAAAGGTGGACAGGACGGGGGACAGGAGCTGACCAGGGGATTTACAAATGCCTTGCCAGGGACGTGCTGGGTGAATGGTGGGAGTTTGAATTGGAGTGGGTCCAAGAAAGGCTTGGAGACAAAAATGGGAAAAGACGGTCTG